TTTACACCAATGATTTATAAATTACGTTATGATTATTTGAATTTAAGTATTTTCCATTTTACATATACACTTCCATAAATTAAAAGGAATGAAGTTATTATAGTTAATATATGCAAATCGTTATCAAATCGTATATTTTCCTTTTCTTCCATTACATGTGTGCGATATATATAAATATATAAACTATGTTACATGCGTTGTATGCGTCTCTAATTATTTTTCCCTAGTCTCTAATTATTTTTCCCTAGCAAATTTCAATTGAACCTAAAGCCGCCACGTCAGTTTAATTGATATGCTAATTGATTGACAACTAAGCAAGATTACTTTTTAATTAATACAAACTTGAGGTTACATCTTTTCAAATGTTTCTCAATTAATATATAGGGGATCACTAATGGATATTCTTTATTGCCTATTGGTATTAGAGAACATATATTTTCCAACATTACAGTAGCCTCTTGGATAATTGAAGTATGAGTTGATATTGGGAGCTCTAACCACTATACTATACCATCGATAGAGCATGGAGAAAATTTTAAATGCAGTTAGAACGTTAGACACTCATTAACTTAAACAATTAATGCTCGTTTTGTATTTGATCATGCTTAGAGTTAAGTTGTAAAATAAACAAAAATGAAGGTGAGTATGTATTAATTTTAATATATTGTTTGTTATTTTTATTTGTTTTAAGCGTAATTCTTTAAAACACGGTTTTAACAATATTTATGAAACATTTTTAAGAAACCAACGAATGAGCATGATGATTTATTTTTACACTATGTAATTTAATATTTATAGGGATTTGAAATAAATCAGACTAGCATGTTTGGTTTTACTATAAAAATAATCTCTTGACAGAATATTGCAATTTACAAACCTATATATTTATCAAAACCCATCATACATATATAGAATTATTTCCAGAACTGATTGTGTTAATTTTTCCTTTTCATAATATATGATAAGGTTGATCATTTTTCTTGCTAATTAACCCTTTTTGCAGTGTTAAGGTTTTTTTTTTGCTAACCTGCAGTGTTAAGGTTTACTACTCCCTCCGTTTCATATTAAGTGTCGTTGTAGAGAATTTTTTGCGTTACAAAATAAGTGTCGTTTTCAGTTTTCAATGCAAAATTTATTAATTTTATTATGTAATTAGTTTTTCTATTGGTTAAAATATGATTAGGTGTATAGGTAACTGTGTTTTTATATAGGAAATATGTAAAATTAATTGTTTCCTTAATCCGTGTGCACAGCTGTAGAGTGACACTTATAATGAAACAGAGGGAGTATAATACATCAGAGGAGACGATCTAACCCAGCAACAGATGACTAATATTTCATTCAACGTAACTAAATCTTCTCAAATGTTGGAAGGGTTGTTGGTTAGACGGTCTAATTGTGTAATTAATTTGTTTTCTATTTTTGCTTTAGGTTTAATCGAATTGGTTTAGTAGAGATGTGCACGTCCATTATTATACTATGCAATATCTTTTTGGTATATATGTATATATTTTGATATAAAAATCAAGCCTGCTTTTCTCTTAATTTTAAAAATAATGAATCTCTCATTTTTAATGCAAACAAAAATCCAAAAGGATTGTCAATTTATTTAACAAGAAAAGCAAAAATGTACTAATGCAAAAGGAATGCTTATAAATATGAGCAAGTGTAGGCCATTAAGCAGACATAATGTAATTAACAAATGGATTATTATATGTAACCCACCTTCTTCTTCACCTTTGGCCTTGTTTATAAAATTTATCTCCTTAAAGCTATACTCAAGCCTCAAGGTGAAAGCAAAAACCTAATTCAATAACAACAAACACACAGTTAATCCCAAGGTTAATTTCAACCTCTAAACTCAAGAATTCTCATCACCACCATCATATCATGAGTAGCTCAAGCTCTAGTTCTGGCTCTGGCTCTCCTTGTGGAGCTTGTAAGTTCCTCAGGAGAAAATGTGCAAAGGGATGTGTGTTTGCTCCATACTTTTGTCATGAACAAGGAGCTTCACACTTTGCAGCCATTCACAAAGTTTTTGGAGCAAGTAATGCTTCTAAATTGCTCTCTCAGCTTCCTGCTAGCGATCGCTTCGAAGCAGCCATTACAATCTCTTACGAAGCTCAAGCTAGGCTTCAAGATCCCATCTATGGCTGCGTCTCTCATATCTTTGCTCTCCAGCAGCAGGTACTTCCTTCGAAACCCTAATATTGATATTCCCTATCTACATAAACGTATACCCAAAATATAAAAATATTTAGACAACGAATTTTGTTTGTAATTGTTTAATTTTGTTGGATATACCTAGGTTGTGAATCTACAAGCACAACTTGAGATTCTAAAGCAACAAGCCACACAAAGCATGATGTTTGCTGATTCACCATCATCTGAAAACCCTAATAGCTATTATGGAGACACTACTAAGAATCCTTCTTATCATCATGATCATCACCAAGAACATCAAAATATTTATCAACATCATCATCATCATGATCTGACCCATCTAGTTAACCAAATTGGAGGCTCAGGGATGGATGCAACGGCCAATAGTTACCCCACGGACAACTCCTCGGCCATTGGACAATTCTCTATCTGCCCTGAACTGGAACAACACTTAAACACTTTCAATCAAGATCATCTCAAAGAGCTTCAATCAGCAAATTTTGGCTACATATCCTTCTCATGATGGTTCTATCAAGACATGGTTGATTCTTATATCAATATCTTATATAGAATATATACATACCTTATATATGTGTTAAGACTTTTTTTTTGTCAACTGTGTTAAGACTTTTTGATGGTTTTTTAGTGTGGATTGTTGATGTTGCCTAGCTCCAAGAACCGGCTTTGTAATTATAAATAAAAAATATTAGATGCCCTAGAAATATATAAAGATCATATCTTCATATCCTCAGGATGTTTTTAGAGTATATATATGTCGATCATTGTGCTAATCGTCTCGATATCATCCCAGACTTGTCACGATCTGAACTTAAAAAGACACAAATCTTTTAGTTATCTAATAGAATCTGATTGTCTTTATTCTTTAGATTTTGCTTGTAAGTACAGTCTAGTACACTGGACCAGTGGACCTTGCCTAGCTGTGTATCTTTCATCGACAAAGCGGTTTTTGAATCATTTTAGGTAAATAATCTGGGATTATTATTTTTTACATTTTTCTGGGGCATACAGTTTAAGCACCACATGCTCTTACTTAAGTCAGCCAATTCCAGTTTTCGATTTCCTACAAATGCAATGTGTTATATTTATAATTTCTCTTTAAACGATCAACTTATATATATCCTTAAACATTTTATATAGTTGGGTACCCTCCCAATTGTCGGCAGATAATCTTGTATATACATATTATGCTCGGCATGATTGATATCTTAAAGCTCATGAAAAATTAGATAGATCATTGATAGTTAGCAGAAAGTTCTTATCCGACTAATTTGTTTTTTTTTGTTGTTGTTGTTTTGCAATACATACTTTCATTGATGTTCTAAAAATGATATTTTTTTCATTATTATCATCAAGTTTGTAGACATAGCACATCAACGGGTTTAGTTTATTTTCCATAACCACTATTGCGATTTTCATTTGATTGCCAATAATATATAAAATATAATCAACACTTGACATCTATATAGTTGTTTTTAAAAAAGAAAAAGAAATATATAGTTGTTTTGTTTTCAGCATAGGTTCTATACATAATTTATGGCCCTGACAATAATAATTTGCTAACGTAAAATGTTTGTTTGGTTGTCGGAAGTCTTTTTCAAAATTTTGTTCTGTCTATCCATGTGTATTTTACTCAAAACGCAATCGTATAATCAAATCAACTAATAGATCTCAATCATAATAAGCGTGTAATAACAACTTATAAATATATGGTCAGTAGCTATGCTTTTTTTTGTTTTCTCTGGGGCAATATTTAGTTCTATTTAAACGATAAAACTCCAACCACACCTCTTCTTTTGTAGTTGTGGTAGTATAGTAATTAGCTTAGGTACTAGGCTAGTAGCAAATACTTGAATGTGAATTTAGGGTTCATCCACGTAATCACGTTTACATATTTTGCTATGATCTTGACAAGTTGGTAACAAGAAAATGAATCTAAAGTAAAACACCGATTTATATTTGGTCTCAAATTTTTGTTTGTCAAATATTTCAGAACGTAAGCTGGCAGTGTTGTTTTAGCAGTTAGATCGGAAGTGGATTTATATTATCAATGTACAAAAATAAAATTCAAACAAAAAATTCATCTTATGTTACGCATACGGCATATCTATATATTATAGTCAGCAATCACGAAATACAGAATATATTCACACTAATAGCTACTTGAGTATAGAATATCTATTAGCAAACTGGCATTAAAAAGAAGAACAAACAGTACTCCATGAAAATACAATCTCTCCAATTGAATTTCTATAGGCCAAGCAACATTATTAGAGGTAACATTGAGAGTAAAGTTCAAATCACATAGTTTCTCTTTGTTTAAAAAGTTTTGTTTTTGTTCCTTTGTTGATACATGACTGAATGATCCTTAAGCATTCCTAGTGAACAAGCGGGTCTTGAGTGAAAAAGAACTGCCAAAAAACAGAGTTTGCTATGTCTCAATACAGATTCACAAGGCAAACAATAAGGAAAGAGTCTAAAAGATCAAAGTGTGTTTACCTCAAATGATTTGCCAGAATTTTCAAATTCCAACATGCTCAATGCAACTTCACAGCTTTGTGAAACAATAGGCTCAGGGTCCCTTGAGAACTCTTGTAGCAATGCAATGCTCTCCTCATCTGAAAGTAGCCAAGCAAGTCAAGAGAGTAAGTGAAGTCAGCCAAGTTGTGATAGTTCAATACAATGACTTGCATTGTAAGGGAAGATACCTGCAATAGAACCAAGTGCTTCTGCAGCCTCATGTCTGACCATCGGATGCTCGTTCACATCTCTCAGTATTTTGCTTAGAGTAGCTAAAGCAGCTTTGTTTTGCAGTTGCCCCAAGACATAAGCAACCTACAAAGAGTGTATCAACAACAATTTAGTCAGTTTCATTCTGGAGAACAATGAAGCAACGATCCAAGGTCAAAGATTTTAACAAACATAGACTCATGCTACTCCATAACATCTTTGAAAACTAAGTCATTACTAGAAAACAAAAAGTACTTGACAAACCTCATGACGTAAAAGAGCACTATTAGCACTCAAAGAATCAACTATAGCAGAAACAGCTTCCTCTCCACCATGATTCCTTAGCGCAAAAAGAGCAGCATACCTCTCATACATGCCCTTTGTTTCATCCAGAAGAATCTGCCTGTAAATCAAACAACCTGTCACAAACTGAAAAAAAAAAAAACCATCTAGAAGTTTTTAGAGTTGGTCAAGTTTTAAAAGAACCTAAGTTGGTGTACAGAAGAGAAAGCAGCAGCAGGAGCCGCTGGGTCAACAGACATGAAAGGTGATCTCTCTTTCGTCTCCACATCAACATTACTCAACTCTTCAATCCTTTTCAGAGCTAACTCACATGTCTCCCTCACCTCCTGAGCAGGATCCAAAACCAAACTTCTCCTTAAAATCTCAGCATTACCCACTAAACCAATAGCTCCAAGAGCTTCTGCTGCCTGTTGTTACATAATATTAACAAAAAAAAAAAAAAAAAATCAAAAACCGTATTCTTATACAAAAGAAGTATGATTTTGACTTAAAAATCAACTATTACTCAACTCATGGCGTACTATTGGATGCAAAGACATATCATTAAGAACCGACTCTAAAGCAGGAACCGCTTCAGCATCTTGCATCTGTCCCAACGCAAACGCAGCTTCATGTGCCAACAAGTTAGACGAGTCTCTAGCCGCTGTAAATCAAAAAACATGATAGCCACGTCATCAGGAACCAAAGCTTGAATCTTTACACTTAAAAATCAATCCTTTATTTTTGATTTTAACTACACAAAGCTATCTCTCAAATGTTCTACTTAAAGTAACAAACTTTGAGAGGTGAACAAACCGAGGATTAGAGCGTTGCGAGGTCCAGGGCCTTTTAGGTTCCGAAGAGAGAAGAGAGCTCTGAATCGCTCCGAGATTGGCTGCGACTGGTCCAATAATCGCTCGCAGAGGAACTTCTCCACGTCGCTTACGACGCCGTTTTGAGTAGATGAAGCTGATTTGTTAGGTTCCATTACTGAATTAGCTTCCACGGTGTTTTGGGTCGACGACGGGAGTTAATAGAGGCGACGACGAGTAGGGTTTTTGTATTACAGGAGGAGAGAACCCCGCGATTCGTCAAAAGTAGTACAAAATAGGAGGACCTATAGTGATAATAACTAAATTGATTATTAATCCCTACAGTAATCTGATAGTTTCAAATTGACCACATAGGTTTCTATTAATTGTGCATTTTGTTTTCGTTCATGGGCTTTGAATCATAAGTGGGCCGAAACAGAATTTACTAAACGTGGGGATTGTGTGTTTATGTAGGCCTAAACAGAATTTATTGTTTGCTCCAGTATTAATCTTTTAATTGTAAATTAACCCCGTAGTTTCTATTCTCCCACACACAGACACACGAAGTTTAATCATATGAGTTACTTAGCGTGGGGATAAACACTTGTCGTCTCTCTGTTGAGTGTTGATTTGCTTAAGGGACAATTCGCCGTTAGGGATCTCTGGAAACATCTGCGGAGCTTTAGAAGCCAAATCGAGAATTCGTCTGATCGATGAATCCGAGAAGGTTAGATCCATTCGATTTGATATGATCTAGCGAGTCTGATGATCATATATGATTTCATTTGTAGATTAGGGTTCTTTATCTTGCGGATCTGAAGAAGCAGTGAGTATACAAGAGTAGGATCGTTTCTCTCTAGATGAGTCCCAGTTCGTATAGTTTTAGAATTCGCTTCTAATATTCAAAATCTCAATCATCGTCCAGTGTGATTCCTTAAACCGTAGATCCAGGTGATATCTGGAAACATCTGAAGAAACCTTGAGCCAAATCGATAATTAGATTAATAATTTGATTGATTGATGAATCCTAGACGGTCAGATCCATTGGATTTGATGATCTGAAGAAGCAGTGAATATACTCTGTAGATCAGTCTCAGTTCGTCTTCTAGTTTAGAATTCCCTTCTAATATTCAAAATCTGAATCTGGAATTGGATGAATCTTAGTTGTAAGTGGTGTTACATGAACACACGTAGCTTACCATGTGGTGTTTGCATTAGCTTTTTGATTTAGAGATTAGTTTCTTTTGAGTTGTTTATTTGTGCATCTCGTGGAAGATTGATGTAAATTTTGTTTTGTTTTGAAGGGAGCCTCGTGGTGGGAGAAGTGCGCTATTTGATGGCATTGAAGAGGGAGGAATCAGAGCTGCTTCTTCTTACTCTCATGAAATCAATGAGCATGAGAATGAGCGTGCCTTGGAAGGTTTACAAGACAGAGTCATTCTCTTAAAACGAGTAAGCCTGATTCATGTTAACACTTGTGCTAATGTTACATGGTTATTTACTAGTAGCATACTACTGCAATACATTTGCACACGTACTAGTAGCATACTATCGCAATAAAATGGCGAGTAGCTTCGTAGATAAACGTACTAGTAGTAGCCTAGTGCTGCGATACATTTGAGACAAGGGCCCAGTTTTAGAACAGAAATCGTAGCATAGATTATATTTATCTTTTAACATTGTCACATGTAGTTGGACTCTGTATGATTCTGATTTGTGTCTTTTCATCAACAGCTTTCTGGCGATATAAATGAAGAGGTGGATACTCATAACCGCATGCTTGACAGAATGGTATATATTTCCCCAACTTTTTCTGCTACTTTTGGGTTTTGGCTCAGAGAGATGCCATTGTTACTGAACATTGTGCAATGTTTCTAATATGCTGTAGGGTAATGATATGGATTCATCAAGGGGGATTCTCTCAGGCACCATGGACCGGTTCAAAACGGTACAATCTCCCTTTACCCTCCCTAGCTTCACTTATGTGTTGAAATATTGTCTCTGATCTGTTGAATTGAATCCTTGCGCAGGTCTTTGAGACCAAATCAAGCAGAAGAATGCTGACACTCGTGGCATCATTCGTGGGTGTATTTCTAGTGATTTATTATCTTACTCGTTGAAATTGGCAAACCAGAGTACTCTGAAACCATCTATCCATCCATGATATTATCATGTTTTCATTCTCCCTGTTTGCTCCTTCAATCTCCCGTTAGTGTAATGAATGTGATATGCACCTAGTGTTATAGCGTGATCGAAGTACTTGAGATATAAAGGACATAAATTCACAATAAACTTATAAAAGTTTCATGTGATGGATTTTTATACTGTTTGACTCCTTCAATATGTTATGTAGCGACGGTATTAGATAACTAGGCAGTGGAATAAAGAACAATAATACGAGGTGGCAAAAAAAAAGTTAATGCACCAGCCGGGAATCGAACCCGGGTCTGTACCGTGGCAGGGTACTATTCTACCACTAGACCACTGGTGCTTGTTGAAATGATGTTAAACTAACTTTCGGATGACTCATACTATCTTATCTTCAACATTAGATAGAATCATAGGATGTAGGATCAGTTCAATACTCTAGTGGATATAACATAATCTGTCAATTATTTCATTCATGGATCTAACACAGTAGTTTCTAACTCATAGGTTGCATAAGTGAGAACCAAAGAAGAGCTATTATTTATGAACAATTGTTTCACTAAAATTTAAAGGTTCAATACATGATATAGGAAAAACATAAGGGTCCGATTTGCAATTTACCAAAGATGTAATCTACAGAAGGGGTAAAGTAGTAAATTTGTGAATTCAATCCATTACCAACCCTACTGACACTACTAACGACACGTCATCAAAGTCTTTCCTTCTCTTTCTCTTTCGCAGCCGCCCCGTCGCCACCGCGATTTCTCGTCATCGGAGGCTCTGTCCCCTCCCCTCTCTCTTCATCCTCAAGGATTGGCTACTGAACGCGAGAAAAACGCTATGACAATTTTCTCAGTTCAGTCCACTATCTTCACCCGAGCTTCCCTCGCCATCCTCTCCACCAACGGACTCAAACGCTTCTCCTTCGCTTCCTCCTTCTCCTCAAACGCTCTATACTCTTCCCCTCTCCCCAAAACGAAGAAACGGCGCTTCCCAATCGTCTCCGCCGTCGACATCGGTGGCGTCACAATCGCTAGAAACGGTTCGTGGTGTCTTAACATTACATAACCACTATTAGTTTTTTAGTTTGTCTTTATGGGCTTGTTACAAAGCATCAAACTTTCTTAGAGAAGAAGTTGAAAGTTTACATTTTTAAAATACTCTGTAAATTTGCAGATGTGGTGAGAGTGGTTGTAGGTTCGTGTGTCTTTTCATTACAGAACCGTTGTTCGTTTTTTTTAGTTTTGTCTTTATGGGTTTGTTACAAAGTATCAAACTTTCTTAGAGAAAAAGATGAAAGTTTAAATTTTTAAAATACTCTGTTAATTTGCAGATGTGGTGAGAGTAGTTGTAGGTTCGTGTGTCTTTATATTACAGAACCGTTGTTCGTTCTTTTAGTTTTGTCTTTATGTGATTGTTTACAAAGTATCAAACTTTCTTAGAGAAGAAGATGAAAGTTTAAATTTTTAAAATACTCTGTAAATTTGCAGATGTGGTGAGAGATGATGATCCTACAAACAATGTACCAGACTCTATCTTCTCCAAGCTTGGAATGCAGCTACACAGACGTGATAAGCATCCTCTTGGTATCTTAAAGAATGCTATCTACGACTACTTTGATTCCAATTACGCTAAACAGTTTGAGAAATTTGAAGATCTTTCCCCAATTGTTACCACCAAGCAAGTAAGTCTACTTCCCCTTACGCAATAACTGAAAAACATCATGATAGGTACTGAGATAGAGAGTGAGAGAGTCTCTAGTTCACATAGAGTGTTTTCTGTTAGAGACAAGAGTTGTTGGGAGCTTGTGTGAGACGTGAGAGTCTCTGTTTCACATAGAGTGTTTTCTGTTAGAGACGAGAGTTGTTGGGAGCTTGTGTTGACGTGATGAGGGTAAGAGAGTCTCTGTTTCACATAGAGTGTTTCCTGTTAGAGACGAGAGTTGTGGAAGCCTGCGTGAGACGTGATGAGGGTAGGAGAGTCACTGTTTCACATAGTGTTTTCTGTTAGAGACGAGAGTTGTGGAAGCTTGTCTGAGACGTGATGAGGGTAGGAGAGTAGAGTATTTTCATTTGTATCTGCTCTAGTGCTATTAATAAAGGAGTTATTTAGTCACAATCATAACACTGTGTTTCCTTTTGGTGCTAGAATTTTGATGATGTGCTGGTCCCTGCTGATCATGTAAGCAGAAGCCTTAATGACACGTACTATGTTGACTCCGAAACTGTTCTGAGATGTCATACAAGTGCTCATCAAGCTGAGCTTTTGAGGGATGGTCATAGACGTTTCCTTGTTACTGGTGATGTTTACCGAAGAGACTCTATTGACTCTACTCATTATCCGGTTTTTCATCAGGTGGTTACTATTCATGAGCTAGGTCCCTGTGTATGTGTTTCATATACTAGAAGATGTTTATGTTTTTCTTTATTATGTAATACAGATGGAAGGCTTTTGTGTTTTTTCTCCTGAGGACTGGAACGAGTCTGGCAAGGATTCCACGTTATATGCAGCTGAGGATTTGAAGAAATGTCTAGAGGGTTTGGCGCGTCACTTGTTTGGTAATCTTCCAACTATTAATAATCTGGAGATGATTGTTCATATTAATTGTTTTTTTGTAAAAATATGGGAGTTTATAGGATGATTGTAGCATCAACTTTAAAATGAAGATGGAAACATTTAGATGAAACGTTTTTGCATAGAACAAGCTTGTGAGTCTGTTTACTCTTTTAATTTAAACCTTCTTTGGCTACCAGGTGGTGTGGAGATGAGATGGGTTGATACATATTTTCCATTTACCGAACCATCTTTCGAGCTTGAGATATATTTTAAGGCAAGTCTTGTCCCTTTCTTATATATTTCGACATAAGTGTGTTTGCTTTGCATTTAAAAAACACAATATTTCTGTTCTTATGTAGTCTCCTTGTCCTAAAACAGAAGTTGTGTGTTTGGCTAGCAATCTTAGTATAGCATCGAAGACAAACTTAGGTTTCTTATCTAATAAGGTTTATCTGGTTCTTGGATTCAGGAAGACTGGTTGGAAGTTTTGGGATGTGGAGTGACGGAACAAAGAATTTTGAAGCAGAGTGGATTAGAAAACAATGTTGCTTGGGCCTTTGGACTTGGATTGGAGCGACTTGCTATGGTTTTGTTTGATATCCCTGATATTAGACTTTTCTGGTCTGATGATGAACGGTTTACTTCCCAGGTGATTTCTTGGTTTGACAACTTTAAATATTGGGAATGGCGAATGAATCTCATTGTTTCAATACTTGTTTTCTTTTCTTGAATCAATGCATTTTTGATGTGATATGTGCAGTTTAAGAAAGGAGAGCTTGGAGTTAAATTTAAGCCATTCTCAAAGGTAAATACAAAGCTTTTTCCATCTTCATGTTCATGTCTTAGTTTTCACTCCCAAGACTCATTCATGTTACATTGTTCTTCTGTAGTATCCGCCTTGTTACAAGGACATCAGTTTCTGGATCAGTGAATCATTCACTGAGAATAACTTTTGTGAAGTTGTGAGAGGAATCGCTGGGGATCTTGTTGAAGAGGTAACATCACCTCCTTATCTTTTTGAATTTTTTTTTTTTTTGGAAAAGAACAGTAATATTAACTTCAGTTGTATCATCGTCATATCATGTTCTTGGGAGTGATTGTCTATTATTCATTTCACAGGTGAAGTTAATCGACAGTTTCACCAATAAGAAAGGGATGACGAGTCACTGTTACAGAATTGTTTTCCGTTCCATGGAGCGCTCTCTTACAGATGAGGAGGTTAATGATCTGCAGGTAATCATTTTTGCTTTCTCCTTTGTTTACTTGTAAGGGTTAGTTAAACTGTTTTAAAATGGTAATTTTTTCCAAATACAGAGTAAAGTGCGGGATGAGGTGCAAAGAAAGCTAAATGTTGAATTAAGGTGAGAGTTTTGAGTAGTTGAGTTGTGCTGCAGACGATGATGAACATTTCTGTGTTTAACCTTTGTATTTCATATATCTTTTTTGCTTACTTTCTCGAGAGTTGCGTTATACTCAAATAAAAATATATATGTACATCGTCTTTATTATTATTCTAAGTGAAAGAAAGCTGCAATTGCAGTCATTCAATCAAACTTCATCACCAAGGAGCATCCTCGAAACCTTGACTCAAGGATTGATTCTTCGAAGTGTATTCGTGTATACAGTTTTGAAAAAGAAACGAAGAGCTTTCGAAACCTGCACATTCACACGAGAAGAAAAAAAGAACACAATAAGGATACAGTTCACAGTTCGTATCACATGCTTTACATTTATCATGGTAAGAGATAGAGAACACAAAATCAAATTTGATGAAAAGACAGCATACCAAACCCATTGGTTTTGTGCCATTGCCTCAAAGCTTTTCAAAGGCTGCTGGTTTATGATGACGACCTTACTCGGGTGTGTTTTGGCGGATAATATTGACAGCCACATGTCGACAGGTCCACAGCATATTAAGGCTTACCTTGATATACATAGCACTGAATCAAGATCATATTCAAGAGTTTACATATGATTTTTAGTTCCAAAATGTATACGAAAGAGATAGACTTACAAGTAGCCAAGCTATGATATTTCTTTCTGAGTTAGTCTGCAAGAACTTTCTGCATGTACAACACACTGATGAGGAATGATCTTGTGGTTTCATGACTCAGGGAGTTAAAAGAAGTCTTTAACGTACACCACTCCACGGTGCAAATCACGGTGACTGCAATGACCATAAACACCATAGTTGGAGAAATATTATCGAAGCGTATTTATCTTGATGAGTTTCTTTAACTATATACCGCGAGAATATCGTGACGAATGACTTCTTCATGGATGATTTCTGTTAACAAATCATGGCTCCATACTTGCCCAAAACCATTCTAAGAGTGAGTTAATATAATATACTCTGAGATGGTGAATGAAAAGATACACATCGACTGGGGAGATATAATAACACTCTACTAACCTGTAAATTTGGATGGTCCAGATTCTTTAACTGCTGAGGAGGAACCTGCATCACATTTATATATTATAAAACACGTCCTTCACTATAATAACAAGAAAAAACAAGCATTTACCCTGAGCACTGCACAAGCCTGATGCAGCTCATCTTTCCTATGCTTCCCATACCAGGTTGTAAGATTGGGCTTTCGAAAGCCTACTTACGGCCTACATTTTTGGGTCAGGTCAAGTCATTTGTGATCGTTGCAAATATTGTGTTCAGACAGGGAATATTGTTAGAAATGATAATGTGATCACGAGTTTAGCTTTAAGCCAAAACTACTTTTACTTTATATAATTTCCATTAGGACAATAAAGTATAAAAAAAATTTCCCGACAGATCAAACTGCATTCACGTTACTTATGCTCCCTCCCACCTTATTATATATATTTTATTATACAAACTGCCTTTTGTTATAATTATTCATTCAGATCAAGCTTTTTTCATTGCACCAGAACACGGTAACATGCATAATGATTAGTCACAAGTTGAACTATATTAAAATGTGATACTTTTCTTCTCTTTTTTATATATTCCATTTACTTGGCCGCGTCGTTTCCGTGTGAATAACTTTGGTATATATCACACGATAAGTCGGTACGAGCTAGGGCAAATCAGTATTATAACTTATTTTTTTTACCATGTACGTATGTGTGTTGATGTCAGATATTTATAAATCGCAGATTGATATAGTCACCCCAAAAAACAAACAAAAGAAATCGAAGAGATGATATAGAGTCATTTTAAATGAACGAGTGATGCCATATAATCATTATATTTAATCAAAATTTTCGATTTGAGAGTAATTAAATAGAATTTGGATCTGAAAAATGTACAAGACTTGCAGTGTTGTGATTCATGACCGTATATGCCAGTGAAAACATGTACGAATCGTTACGGAAGATTCCGTATGTTTTTCTTTTCTTATACATTATGGGCTGGAGTTGATTTCTACATTTTTGTCTATTTATAATTTTGTCATATAAACCTATTTTATTTTTATTATATTTGGTTCACTTCTGATCATTTTAGATGAAAGACCAGCATATAACTATGTTTTCACCATCTACATTTATATATGAAAAAGATATACTACCCTTTTATTAAGAAAAACTCGATTTAGGTTCTTTATTAAAAAAAAAAAAAACAATTTGGTACCATGACATGAAGCCTTAAGCCTATATTAGTACTAATCTACTAATCTGTCACATTTGATTTGTCGTGTCAGATATTCCGATTCTCAATGTCAATCATTTTGCTGGTCTCAAGATTTTATTAAGCTGAATGTATTTTTGAAAATTGTGCACTTATATTACCATTTCTCCTTAATACTTGGAGATAATCTCATGCTTTCATATCCAACCATTTTATTTTAGCTTATATTCGTATAAATAAATGTGAATAAGTCACTTGATTGAGTACTGATTTTACGGAGAATGTTAATACTCCTCCGTTTACTAACTGCAAATTTTATGTTCAAAACTAGCTATAATTTTTATTAGGAGTAGTTAATAATTTAGGTATCGAATTGTGTTATTTAAAATCACAAATACTACTAATATTTAAAGAAATATTTATATGATAGTATGCATTTATATGCATGGAACGAAATAGACATGTACACATATATACATTATTCCTTCACCATTACACTATCACACACACACACACACATATATATATATATATATATATATATATATATATATATATATATATATATGTATATTATACATGTATGCACATGTGAAGCAGAATTGGGTGGATTGAGAATGAGAGGAGAAGCACATGGAAGCACACTTGCATGAACATGTTTGTATTCACAGGCAAACCACTTTCAATATTATACATTTATGAGAAATTGCAAACATCACAACTCCTACTACATTATTTCATTCTTTCATTGTATATGTTGCCACTTTTTCTTTTTATATGAAAACTTTTTCGAACCAAAAGAGGGTTTCAGTAAGGATCTCTTCAAGTGGATCTGGATTCAAGTATACACTTCAAAAACTAACAATTTTACCCACACTCTTGACTTATTCTTCGTATTATTACTTTTACCTTTAATTTTAATTTTAATTTAATATGATCAGCACACATAATATATCTCTGTCTAACTAATCATATGATCAGCAAATGCCATGTATACTAAACTGTTCCATTACTTGGTTAGCGAAATAGTATTTATTTGTACAAAATTTAAAGTTGTTAACTTCGTGGTGAAAGTTGCCTATTAAACTATTCTTCGACCAATAATTTGATTACCTTTTATTACATTTCCTGCAACTTCTCGCTCAATGCTGTTGTTATTGTTGCCGGGCTTGTTGAAGAAACTTGGAGACTGGTCTTATGTAGAAACTTAGAGAGGATATTCCTAGAATACTTTTTGTTAGAAGACAACCACTAATGTTTGGGTTGTTTTGAGTAAAGAGGGCGATATAAAAATAATGAATTATATGTTACACTTATATATGTATATACTGAAACATTGAAACAATAGATCTTTGCACCAATAAGTTTTAGAATAAAATATAATATGTATATACAATAGTCATAAAACGCTGAAAATGTTAAAATTATAAACAAAATGTTGTTATAACTACTTATATATTGGCATCCATAATAGCAAGATAGATATACACATACATAAAATAAAACTTAATTTATTGCAACAATGAAATGCCACTAACGATGAAAAAGCCTGTTTTGGAAAAATCAGATATATATCCAACCAGGAGTTCCTCATATCATTTTTTGAAAATGGCATTCTCATAATTTGTTTTTAATATCAATTAACAATTTATTTGATAATAGAAGTATATATTGTCTTAATATTTCTATAGTTTTTTATCAAAAAAAAAAATATGACCAACGTAGTGAATTCAATCCATTAAACTCTCTTTATTTTTTGAAAACAACGAATACAAGGATTGGCCTACATGGGGCCTTGGTTTGGGGACAAAAACATTATAGGAGAGGTCTCACAAGTCGCAAAATATAATAGCATAATAAATAAATACAAAATTTAATAGCAAAATAATGAAATACAAAATTTCATAGCAAAATAAATAAATACAAAATTTATTTGAAAAATAAATAAATAAAAACAAAGCACATGTTCTGACACATGAACATGGTTCCCTTCTTCACTTCTCCTTTTCTTTTGCTCTTTCTACAGCTCATCTATCTCCATCGCTCCACTCTTCCACTACTCTCAGCCTCCCACTTAATTCATTCTTTCCATTTCCTTTGTATTTTATTGCAATTCTTTCTCCCTTGAATTAGCATTGCACTGTCATAAACTTCTATAGTGATGATTGGTTTTCTTGTTATTTGATTGTTTATAGTAAGGGAAGCTAATTTTACATATATACATGCTTCTCTAAAAATGTAGTTAATTGTACATGTGAAGGACAGAAAGAGAAGTGTATTAATTGTATTGGACTATTCTTATTTTGTCATTTGATATAGTAGTCACTCTTATGCTATCAACTCATCAGTGTCCATACACACTGCCTTATATAACCTTATGTCTAATAATACTTGCAATAGATGTGAAATTGTGCGTTAAACTAAATAACAATATCAAGTTGCTTTTAACATTTACCAAGAGATATAAGTTTGTAGTCTATGAAAATTTCACGTGGTAGCATTCAAATCATAAATAACATACAACTGAATCATATTTAAGGCTAAGGTTGTACACATATCACAGCTTCAAGCTAAGATTTAACTGTATGGAAAATACTTTGCATGAACCAATTGATCATTTTGGTTTCCGTCCGGAACCTATATAAGTTAAGAGAGAAGATACCACATCCGGTAACATCCAGCCAAGTGTGAGATTGACGGACGGCCAGGAACCAAGGCGTAGGAAAAGATCAAAGGCGGAGGAAGGAGGAGAGAAATGCTGAAGCATGTGGAAGAGAGAAACCATAAGAATGTTTCCAGGGGATAATTATTAGTAGTATATATTATACATTTTTATACAAAAAGCTTTTAAATAATTAAGGTAACAAATTAGGGAGGAGGGGTTCACCAAGAGCACGTGCTGCCTGATTCTCCATTTTCTCTCAAGACCTCAAAGCTTTTTTTTTTCTTCCCAAACAGCTGTTTCATAGCTGTCTGATCTCTATCCCTCCCCATGTGACCCCACTCAGAGATATAAACCCTTTGAGATCGAATCCATATACATAAATTAATTTTAGATTTTTTTCTATTATAAAATTATCTTATCTCATGCATCCCCTCTCTCTCTATATCTATTGCTTCTGTTTTGTATAACTACTCTTTGTTATACATAGCCATTTTAGTTACTCTTGTTCGTTTCAACATTCCTCCTCTCTATCTCTCTCATGGTTCTTTAAGACTTTGATCATCTTTAATTCCTCTTGATCCTTTCCTTTGTTTTTCATCTTGGTTTCTTGTTTTCTCATTTGGGTTCTTCTCTTAGTTCAAGTTTTTTTTCTTGAAATCCCATAAACAAAAGTTTATTTTTCCTTGTGTGTGCCATTGATTTTGGTTTCTTGTTTTCTCAATTGGGTTCTTCTTGTAATTCAATTTTTCTTTCTTGAAATCCAATAATTTTTTTTTTTTTTTTTTTGAAATCCAATAAATTAAAACCTTTTTTTTTTCTTGTGTGTGTGCCATTACAACTCATTAATGGCACAACTCCCTCCAAAAATCCCAACCATGACGACCACAACTACGCCGCATTGGCCTGACTTCTCCTCCCAAAAACTCCCTTCCATAGCCGCAACCGCCGCCGCAACCGCAGCAACCGCGGGACAACAAAACCCTACGTGGATGGATGAGTTTCTCGACTTCTCATCCACTCGTCGCGGGACACACCGTCGTTCCATAAGCGACTCCATCGCTTTTCTAGAAGCTCCGTCCTCCGGCGTCGGAAACCACCACTTCGACAGGTTCGACGACGAGCAATTCATGTCTATGTTCAACGATGACGTGCACCAAAACCACCACAGCAACAATAACCACCATGGCAGCGTCAACGGCAATAATGTGGGTCACACGCGTTCTTCTTCCAACACCTCTACACCGTCCGATCACAACAGCCTCACCGAAGAGGACAACAAAGAACCACCACCGTCCGATCATAATCTCATGGACACCACAGATAATAATAACAACAACAACGTCGCCGGTAACAATTACAATGAGTCAGATGAGGTTCAAAGTCAATGCAAGACGGAGCCACAAGACGGTCCGTCGTCGGCGAATCAAAACTCCGGTGGAAGCTCAGGCAATCGGATTAATGATCCCAAAAGAGTTAAACGGTAACCTAATAATTGTTTGCTAATTATATTACTATTTCTAAAAATAAACAAGAAGGTCATGCATGCACGTACAGTTATAAATATCTGAGAATTCGATTATATATGTATACCGTTTACTAAGAAAAGTATACTGTTTAATAAGAAAATAGGTTAAATTAGTGTCACATCGATAACAATATAATAATTTTAATTTTTGGATGAAATTTTCTACAGAATTTTAGCAAATAGGCAATCAGCACAGAGATCAAGGGTGAGAAAACTTCAATACATTTCAGAGCTCGAACGGAGTGTTACTTCATTGCAGGTAAAACCTACATTAATAGATTCACCATTATAAATAAAAAAAAGTTGGGTTGAAAATAGATAAATGTTTGTTAAAGTATAAATTAAATTACTAATTTGTAACTAAACCTTGTGTAGACGGAAGTGTCAGTGTTATCGCCAAGAGTTGCATTTTTGGATCACCAGAGATTGCTTCTCAACGTCGATAATAGCGCTATCAAGCAACGTATCGCCGCTTTAGCACAAGACAAGATTTTCAAAGACGGTAATTTTACTATTTTAACTTATTTTTAGCTGTGGTTTTAGAATTACATGATTTATAGTTGTCTGGGAAATGATCAAATTATTGAAAATATGAATTTTATAACTAGTTTTACCATTATTTCCAATCCATGTATTTAATTATCGCTGACACTATAGGCTCTACCAATTATTACTCTTTAGCAATACAACCATACAAGGAAGTACTTACGGCAATGCATGCTTCATGATTTTAAAAAATTACACGAAATATAATACAATATATTGTTCAAGTTAAGAATAAATTTAGTAGGTATTGTTTTTTTTTTTCATTTTAAAGAGTTTGTTTACTCTATACTAGTTATTTTATAATATGGGTCTAGTTAGCGATCATAGATCAAAAGGTTAATAAATAATAGTCTGATTAACAAACTAGAACAACTGTCCATGTGAGCACATATGACACAGGTAAACATATATAAAACATGTGAATACTCATTGAAAATTTGGATTTATTGATAATAGTTATAATAATGATTCTGAATTAATAATTTCAGCTCACCAAGAAGCATTGAAGAGAGAAATAGAGAGGCTTCGACAAGTATATCATCAACAGAGCCTCAAGAAGATGGAGAATAATGGCTCCGACCAATCTCCGGCTGATATAAAACCGTCTGTTGAGAAAGAACAGCTCAATGCCTAAAGCGGTTTCATTCATTAAGATCTTATCTCTTCATGGCGTAAAGATTCTTGACTATAAAACCTCTTTGTGTCAAGAAATTAATTTATGAAGAAGACAATTTTATTTAATCCAATCACATTTTTTTTAAGTTGTGATGAATTTGCTTTGATGTGTCTGATTTTTTTTTTTTCATTATGGATTGGAGGGGAAAATGGCAATGCTATGTAAAAAACCTAGCTGATTTGTTGTTTATTTGATTTTTTTTTTTGCTGGAGTGTCTAAGCATTGTGTACTAATTCTTATTGTTACAAATAGTTTTGTTTTCTATCAACTTCTTGCCAAACTTAGGGTGATCGAATAGTTAAGATTCCTTTTAGTCACATGGATCAAATCTTGATGGGTGCCATGCGTCCATATGATACAAGATAATAATGTATACTTGTTTTTATTGACAAAAAGAATAATATTTTTGAACCATGAAATGTTGTTACACATAATTTTGAGATTTTTATTTGAAGTGACTGAAAGCGATATTACATTCCTTAAAATCACTTACAAACTTATTTCGTGTTTAACAAACAAACGTTTATTATAATAATTTTGATACAAAAAAAAAGTAAAAATGTGGAATGTTACTATTTCCTTACGTAGGGCCTGGAGATGTACATGATGTCATACAGAATCTAAATGGTATATATGTGTATCCAATATACAATTTACAAACACATGTTGCCAAAAAAACAGTTTACAAAACACAAGTATTAATGGCGAAAATCACAGAGAAAAGGGATTGGTGAACTCATTTTTTTTGTTTTAACCAAAACCTTTCAGAGAAATTAGGGTCAAAGTGGGTCAAATATGAAGATGTGGGGTGAAAAAAAGGAAAGAAAGAAAAGAGGAGAACGTGGACATCTGAAGGCAAAGCTGTAAGTTCACGTGCTATGTTTCTTGGGCTGGACCACAACGGTCTCGCGACATGATTGGCTTAATTTCCACTTCTTTTTAGTTCATTTTGTTTAGTTTTCTTATTAACAATGGTTTTCCTTTTATCTTCTAGTTTTATATCCAAAGTGGAAGGAGACGGTCAAAGTTAAAAAGAAAAATGGTGAAGTTACAGAGGAAAGCTCCAAAGGTGGTAAGATTATTTTAAGAGGTTATGAAAAAATAAAACTGAAGAGGATAAGTTTAAAAAGCCAGGAGCTAGTGGTGCTGTGTTGGATATGTATGAAAGGGAAATATTGTCAGTTTCAGTGTTTGAACTTATATGTCAGTGCCAATACCAATTCCTTCCACTCATTGGGTCCTTTCATTTATTTTACTCAAGTCAATCCTCTCGTTGGGTCTAAAATACTACATCTTTACACCATTTTTTTGTGTGTTTAACATCTTTATACTATATCATATACCACAATGGAAAATGAATTAACATTTTATTTTAAAAAATATATGGCATTCGTTTTCTAATAAAATAAATCTAAACTCTGGTTAAGCAATAACATCATCACAAATTATTTGATGACACGTCCTAGTTAGTCAACTAATTGGGTAAAATGGTGTTCCTGATGTTGATAAAGTAGCAGGAGATCAAAATACTCAATTTGAAGTCGCTATGTATAGTCTCTCATACCGAACCAGACCTGTCAACAAAACTATAGATTTTTTCAACTTGACCTCTATATAGTATAGTACACTGCAGCCGGACAAGACCAAGCACGCACTTCGAAATACCAGGAATCTGGCGAATGCTAACGATATCAACGCTGTTCATCCCTAATTAACGAGACTCAAAGATGATTAATTGTTGACCTAATAATAATAAGGTAGTGCTGATTTTTTTTCTTTGTCTTTTGTTTTCAACAATGGTAGTGCTGATTAAAACTGGCATTGATCACAACCGTTGATTACATTTTCTAGAAGAAGAGTAAAGAAGAGATTCGGTTCATTGTCTATATCATACAAAACGAGTCTAAAATGATATTTGTTCCAACTAAGCTTCAACAGTTTCAATCTTCACCGATTGCACAAACCCTACAAGGAAGAAAACGAGATATGTAGTAAAAAACCAATGACATTAAGCCATATACTATAATGATTTATGTTTAAAAGATAGGGTCTAAATGTGCGCCTAGTCAACAAATTGAACTAAACTGAAACAATTTTTTTAGATGTTAACCTAATCAATAATCTCATATAAACTGAAGAACTACCGCATAACGATAACATTAATAATGACATTTAAATTGATGATATAAAATGAATAATTAAGATATGTTATGCATATGAGTAAAACATAACTGAGCCATAACAAAAACCTTATTTTACTAAGTCTTCTCAGAATTCATATAGTAAGGATGTTATGCTGCAATTTTGAGTAGAAGAGAGTAGTAATATACCTGAAGAGCATCTCAAGTTTCTTCAGTAGCAGCATCAACTTCAGAAGTGTCATGGACTTTGCTTTCACCCAAGTGTTTCTATACAAATGTACACTTGATTTTCAACCTCGAGATTTCTTTGTGTTGATTCTAGGTTTAGGACTATATATAGTGAGAGGTTCTCGTTCTCATTCTCGGTTATGACAGTTTTTTGCGCTCTACGCTCTATTTCTGGGTTGGGTTAAGGTTTGGTGAAGGAGCTTCTAGCTCTGTGACTAGATCTAGAGAACTGATGTTGCGGAAACTTTTAGGGATAGAACTAGTGATCTGTTGATTTTGAGAATATCTGGCAAATTATGATAATCACAAGGATCTTATTTGTTGGAAGTTAAAGTATCCAACTCCTGATATGGGTCTAGATACAGTTCTTTATCGCTATTTCATAGGTCAAAAGTTATTGTAAAAAGCCCAAATCACTAAATCCTTAAATTCACATAATCCATTGAGTATTTGCATCCTATACACTAACTAAACCCAAAAATTAACTATCTACCCTTTTTCTCTCTTATCTCTCCTCCCCCCTCTTACTATTTTTCCCCCAAAACTATGGTACATTGCTAATATCCAAGTTTTCTATGGATTATAAGCCAATTCACCCTAATCCATTTTGCTATTTTTCACCAAACAATTCAGAATAACCTCTCTAGTACTCTTCGATTCAATCTCTTTTCCATACCTAGTGGATGTATTGAATCATATAATTCAGATAATTATGAATTATATAATTTGAGAATAATTTGCAGTGTTTTAAAATAGTTGTGAAAGTTATTATTTTTTAATTGACTGTAATTTTATCTAAAACTATATAATCTAATTTTTTTTGTTATTATTTAAAATTTATTATATAACATATTTTATAACACAAGTTAAAATTTAAAATTTAATAACACTAAAATTTAAAATAATTTATAAATTTTATATTTAAATAAGATTTTTATTATTTTAATGCAAATCACTTTAAATTTAACGGTAAATTTATCATTAGATTCGCCATTAGATTCGCCAAAAAGTTACTGTCAAATATTTCAGAAAGTTAGAAGATCTTATGGTGATGATGATGGAATCAGAGTAATAGAGATTATTTGGATTCTGCTGTGAAAAAAAAAAAATCTGGTGTAATTATGTTATTTATGAATTCTAGTGCTTAATGATTTGGGCCTATTTTAAGGCAATGGGCCCATTGAATAGATTTAAGTAGTATAACTAAGGCCCATATGCAATATAATCTCTAAGCCAACTTGTGAACAGAAATTTTGTAGTCACAAAGAGAATTTATTTAGCTGGTAACTTTTCTGATGTATTATTTAAGATAAAATTAGTTGAAACCTGAAATATAAATATAATAATGTTGCCTTTTTATTAAAGTGTGGCGTCAAATAATCTTATTCATCAGGACTGACATTTTTCTTTCGGATTTATGTCGAAAATTTATTGAAATCGCCATTTCCTATCAAGTTGCATTATGAGAAGGTGATAATCATATGAATTTTTTATCTGATTGAGCCTAATCTCAACATTGACCTGATTTAATTGGGCTTAAGCCCATACAAATGAGACGTGAATCCTTTACATATTTGCTTCTTCATTTTGTCTAACAAGAGGATCCTTTAGTTCTCAGTTCTCTGCCTCTCCTTTCTGGCTATGTTAAGTTGTTTCACGTTTAGCTAAATTAAGATGTTGACCAATTATGAATATTTAAAGTCAACAAGACAGCAAATGTTATAAAAAACTGAATTGACAAATGACAAGAGGTCGGGAGACATACATATATGACAATCTTTTGAAAAGTCGCCCCACATACATCTAACATCGTTAATGTTTTATCTGAAAAGATGCTTTCCCCCATTAATTGTTATAGACTTATAGAAAACGGTGGTCCATTTTCATTTTCTAGAATTCCAAAGCATTGTGATTAATATTATGTCTTGTACTGTTTATCTGTAAGTAGGCATTATATTGGGGTCTTAGTCTAGTTTTCGAATTTGTCCTCTAACAAAACCAATTCTTTTTTGTTGACATTGATTGTTTGTATACTGTAGAGTTAGAATCTAGAGTTTCTAATTCTGGAAGAGACCGGTGCTACTTTAAAAGATATATTTATTACTATATATTGATGTATATTACAGCTTGTGAGGTTATAATGTCATAATGTACAAGATATACTTGTCCCCCAAAATCTATATCCTTAATTGTCCATTCAGCTTTTACGTAGATATATGATCAAAGTGTTGTGGTTATAAGCTAAGTACGTAACTAACTCAACAGTCCCAACCCGGTCCGTTTATGATATGTCTTGCTTGTTTACAAACCAGGCTTTACTCGACTCCGATTCTATAGAATTTCGGGTCTAGTTCGATTCACTCATATATAGATCGTGCCAACCATTAATTATAGTTAATACAATACAAGTATATAATTCTGCTCAATTAGATTGAATCACATACAATCTGTTTTTCTTTTCCAGATTTTTTTTAAAACTTTTTGATATGAGCTGTGATCATTAATATACGGACAATTTTGTATTTTGTTGCATGGAGCACAAATAAGGGGTTTTCTGTAAAAGAAACCCTCAATGTAGTTCTTTTTGTAAATTAAATTGTGAACTCAAAAATCTATGGGTCAACCTTTCAAGTGTCAGTCAAACCGCAATATAATCCTCGGTCATGTATATGTGTATTTGACTCTTGTATAATTTTAAAATTTATCAATACTACGTCGTTTTGGTTGTAATTTTTAATGAAAAACATTTATGCACGTCTGGGTCTGAACCTTGAATCTTATACTGGCATTTGGAGGGTTGATCCGTGGATTTTTGAGTTCGTGGTTTAATTTGCAAAATATAACTACATTGAGGTTTTTTTTTGCAGAAAGCCCTACAAATAAACCCAAATCTCAAAGTCTCACGTTAAATTAAACAAACACATATTTATTCTTGTTATTTACGAGCAAGTTAAATAAAGAAGAAGCGATGTGTATGAGAACGTAAAGCTAGATCGC